TTTTTGACTCTAAAGGAGAAATACCTTACCAAAGAGAACAATGGACCGGTATAAAGCATATGAAGAAAGACAGCCAAGGTTCATTCACATGAAAAACCTTCAGGGAGAGTATGTAGCGCCACTTACCTTCAGGACAAACATTGGACGAATAAAACCCAGTTCAGCAAACGGAAAGGATTCAAGATCTCAGGCATATATTCGATAAGGGACCATTCACCATGATTCAGGTCAATGTCGCTTTGACTTCCACCAAACCAAATAAACAACCTGGACCCGACCTTGTTATAATGGAACTATTCTCTTGGCTAAACTCTTGGTGGAGCAATCAGGTGGCCCCAAATGTCTTTTATGCGCGAGTGGTGCCTATTTACAAGAAAGGTGACACGGGTGAACCCTTTACAGACCAGTTTCCTTGCTAAACTCATTTTACAAGGTCTATATGATTGTGATTCAACAAAGATTGCAGGTGGTACTGGAGAACACCATAACTCAAACGCAGTAGGGGTTTAGACCATCAAGAAGCACTTCGCACGCACTGTTTTTAACAAAGCGTATACAAGACATTGCTGAGCAACAGGGTTCCAATCGTGTCATTGCCTTTTTAGATTAGGAAAAGGCTTTTGATAAAGTACAACACGACAAACTCTACATAGCGCTCCGCAGGCTTGGAGTTCATGAGCATTACGTTGCAACCCCTGCCTTTTTGTAGAAGACGAGATTGGAAGATCGTCGACAAAGCAGCAACGGTCGGGCATAAAACAAGGATGTCCCTGTTTGCCTTGTTTATTTGTTCTGGTGATGCGCATGATGTAACCTATCAGTTGGGTAGACGGTCTACGCTGCAAAAAGACTACTCTGGGCCGTAGAAAGTATTTCAATGCAACTTGGACTTCGGCTGAACGCGGGGAAGTGCTCACGCATTGCAAGGAATGGAAACAATGCTTTTAGATTTGCTGAGGGAAGTCGGCTACAGGATTCAACAGTCTTTGATGACGTGGTCAAAGCTTCAACCATTCTGGAAGGGTGCAAACTGCACCATGGGTTGGAAAATCTGTGTCTATCAAGCTGTCGTTCAAAGCAAGATGATCATGGTGTGGAAGTTGCACATTTAACGCAGAGTCTACCTAACAAACTTAGTGCGTTCCAACTGAGGGTTAAGAGCTAGACTAAGATTAGAAACAACTTTCGTGAACCGAAAATACCAATGACTATGTGCTAAGAGTAGCCTCCGAACAAGCTGGCCGAGAAGTGATGTTGTTTTCGGATCTTTTTCTGGACAAACGAGTTGCCTTGTCGGGCCACATTCTTAGATCTCCAGATTCGGACCCTTCGGGACAAAAGTCACGTACTGTTCCGCATTCGGCAAACGGTGAAGGGTCCCCCTATAGACAACAATGGCGCCACTTTACACATCGACATGTTTGGAAAAACTTGTCAGACGGACGAACTCATTATGACAAACACGGACCAGCAAAACCGACAACTAAATCGCTCTCACACGAGATTTTTAAGCTGTCGCATGAAACTAGACCCGTTGTCCCGCAAACACAGCCCTCCCGCTCCTTTGAAATTGCAATGTGGCTTCCGTGCGTTTGCGCAAGGTTCCCCGTGGCTTCCGGACGGGTGTAGCCGGCGGAGAGATAGGGTGCAAAGTTTGCGTCCGTTCGGCTGCATTGCGTCCACGGTTTCATGGAGCGCCTTGAGCCGGAAAATACATCACAAGAGCATTCTCAAATGCAAATGGTGCAGTGAATTCATGGCCCAGCTCTTCCAAAATTTCGGAAGAAACAAACACATACCAAAACAGCTGTTATGTTGTGTTTTGTGCGTGTGAGTGTATGGTGTGTTGCTTTGCGCTCTCCGTCTGATCTGAAGATACAAAATGATGTTT